TCCAGGGGTTTCTGCCTTTGATAATTGGGTAGATGTTGATGCCATCACTGAGAAATACAGGAGCTAAAAGCTGGTTTGAGGAAGGGAAAACAATGAGTTCGCTCTGAGGACATGTTGAATTTCCATCTAGAACAATGCCTGATGCATAGTATGTGCTCAATAATATTGTTATTGTGAATGCCTAAGGGGCAATTTTTAAAATCTAGGACCTACAACTGTCATGACTTTCAGCTACAGAGATGCCATTTCACAAATGAGCAAACTAATGCACAGAAAATTTAGGCAACTGGTCCAATGTTTCTAGTGAGTCAATGTTAACTGTGAGAATAAAGTCAAGTGCCAGCTTCTGTTTTTTACTCTTTGATTAGTTTTTGCAGTCGTGGGGTCATATTGATTCTATATTATATTCCTTTTTAGAGAGAGTGTGTCCTCTGACAACAACTCAACAAGATTAAAGGTAACCAAATCATGTTGGTACTGGACCTTAGCATCTGCCAGCCCTACCAAAACAAATATGACCAAGCACAGGTTATTGAACAAGCTGTGTTTGCTATTTAGTATGCCTGTGGGCAGCAGCTGCTAGTGAGTCAGATCTGGAGTTTGGGTGAAAGCTATGACCATGGGTGAAATATTACATGGACCTCTTCTTGAATACGTGGACTTAGGCCTTCAGCCCTAGTTAAGATTCGATCCACACCTTAGAGTAGAAAAAAACACTAGACAAGGATGAAGGAGACTTGCATTACTTTGCTACCAAGAATGAAACAACCTGTATTTTTACTCTTGATGTAATGATACATCTTTGGCATCAAATAACACATACCAAATGTAAAATGCTAAAGAGGAAATATACTAAAAAGAGTGCACACTTAAGTATACCTACCACGTAGGCCTGCTTTATGGGACTCTTGCCCAACGCTTTAGATAAGAGGATAGCTCTGAAATAACATCAAAGGAATCTCAGTGGACATAGTCCAGAGGTTGTGAACTGGCAATCATACATGAAAGCTCACCATCAGGTCTTTTGTTTGGTCAGAGTTTATTTTCCTCTTTGAATAGATTGCCTCACCAATGAGTTGTTGTTAGTTGCTGTCCAGTTAGCTGATTCTTGGAGACCTTATGTGTTCTTTGTTGTTAAGTACCATCGAGTCCATTCCAATTCATAGCGACCCTGTACAGGATTTCTGAGGAGCAGTTGGGTTTGAACCATCGCCCAGGTAGTTAGCCGTCAGTGCTTACCCTACAGCATGACACCAGAACTCCAACCTTATATATAGGAGATTGAAATGTTGTCAGTACTGTGTCATCAAATTGTTGTTGTTGTAAGGTGCCATCAAGTCAGTACTGACTCATAGCGACTTTATGCACAATAGAATGAAACACTCCCTGGTCCTGCACCAACCTCACCATCATTGCTACATTTGAGTCCATTCTTGCTGCTACTGTGCCAATCCAGCAATTTAGTGACTTGCTATTGAGTTGGTTCCAACTCATAGAACCCTGTATAGGGTTTCCAAGAGCAGCTGGTGGGTTTGAACTGCTGACTTTGCAGTTACCAGTCCAATGCTTAACCTACAGTAGTGCCACACCAGACCCTTCTTTTGCAATACTGATTACTATTTATAACTATATGTGTGCTTCTTTATTTGCCTTCTTCCTTTCCTTGTATGTTCCATGAGGAATCCATGAGTGTATTGTACCACATCATGTTACTAACTTCTTCCTCTCCTATCTCCCTTTCTCTAGTCCTTTGACACTCGGTGTGACTAAATTACCTTGGCAAAGCAAAATTTACTCCTGCAAGAGGGTGCGTGCGCATAGCCATACATACAGGAACAGGCCAACGAGCACCCTGAGTGGGCAGTCCACTCAGGTTTTTAATCCCTGATGCAAGTCTCAAGGCTGTGTCTCACCCCATTGGCTAGGGTTTTGACTGCACAATCTTTTCCATTACCCGGTTGGCTAGTTCAAATTTTTAAGGCGTACATTCCTACTTTAGGAAAAGAAAAAGAGAGTGATCATAAAGTCTTCACTCATTTTAGGAAGTAACCAAAGAAAAAGAAAGAAATCATAAAGCCTGTACATCGGGGGGGGGGGGGAAGGTTACACAAATACAATAAACAGGTTTATAATATGTATATATTTCCCCCCACATCTGCCCTTCTCTGACACCCGATAAACGATGGTGTTTTAGAAATGTGGACTATGAGATGTTTTTGTTTTCAAATGCCCCTTGACCCTTCCACATAAATCCTGGGGCTGTAGAGGATGGAAAGTTAATTTCACTGAAATCTCAAGGGACATATATTTAGGTAACGGGGGGGAAAAATTGTGTGAGTAGACATTTTTTCTTTTCAAAAGAAAGCAACCATATTCAAAGGGAAAGATATTTGATAACAAAAGGTACTCTATTTAGTTGTAATCTATAAGAACACTAGTTACATACAGGATTTCTAGAGCAAAATCAGGAGAGAATCCAGAGCAAAAGTAAATGGCAGCTTAAAAAAAACCCACTAAACTATTTGATTAGATAATTCTGATAGGCTATTAAGAGATTAGTGATAATTCAAAAAAATACATTTTGATAAGCAACATCAAAAAGTAAAATCTGTTTTTTTCCCTTAGAAACAACATATAAAACTCCATCCTTAACCTTCTTACCATTCCTTAATGTTGCTGTCATATGTTCACACACACACATAAGACATTAACATCACAGAATCCATATTTGTGATCATGTACATGTGATCACGTACACACATGCAAAGGAGCTCTGGTAGTGCAGTGGTTACGAATCGGGCTGCTAATTCCACGGTCAGCAGTTCGAAACTACCAGCTGTTCCGTGGGAGAAAGATGAGGCTTTCTGCTCCCGTAAATTTTTACAGCCTCAGAAACCCTGTACAGGGTTGCTATGAGTCAGAACTGACTCCACAGCACATAACGACAACAAAAACACACATGCATATATACTTGTATATGTGTGTGGTAGTACTGGAGATGGTGGTATGCCGTGGAGTCGGTTCCAACTCACACAGGGTTTCTGAGGCTATAAATCTTTTCAGGATCAGAAAGCCTCATCTTTCTCCTGAGAACCAGCTGGTAGTTTCGAACTGCTGACCTTGACGTTAGCAGCCTAATTTGCAATCACTATGGTACCAGAGCTCCTTGTTTATGTGTGTATTTACTGTATTTTCATACAATTCAGACCATATATTGAGCAGGATCCAAATGATTCCCCAAATCAGCTAAAAACATACTAAAATGTGGAAATGTAAAGACAAGAAGAAAAGGGATGCCACAGAGAGATGAGAAAGGAAAGGAGTCCTGTAGTTAAATAAGAAGTACAAATGTGCAGTAGCACAAGGGCCCAGGCCTGGAGCCACATTAAGCCCAGGCCCTAACCTTTGCCCTATTCCTGTATACACACACGTTTGAGAGAGGGGCTTCAAAACATTTGTGGAAAAACTGTAATGAAGAGATTATGGAATTTTTCTATGAACTTTTTGAAGCCCCCTCACACTAGTGACATAATCAACAGTGAATTACTGAATTTCTCTCTGCCTCAATTTTCCAACTGCAAAAATGGGGCTGATGCCTCAGGAGATTGCTTGAGAGGATTATATGGATTACATTACAAGCCAATCCCTCAATAAGTGATAGCTGTTAGCCATTTTCTTCTAATCAAGTTACCTGTCTTGAAGGTTACATAAGCCAAAACCCAGTCCTGGCATTAGTTTGAGCAAATTTGGGAGTGGTAGGTAGAAGGTGAGCCAGGGTTGCATCAACCATAATCAATGTTTCCTACACTTGGGCAAAATAGAACCCTGGGCTGAATGGGCCCAGATCCTGAGCCAGTCTGTGAAATCCTCTATTCCTATATACTTTGACATCTTCTGCTTGATAAGGACCCGTGAGTTTATATTTGAAATTCTTTAAGTCACCTTTTAAAAATGAATCTTTTGTATTTTTAACCAACTGATGTAACTATGGAATAGAGATTACTTTCTAAAAGTATTATTTTTATTGATACTATGTTTTAGCCTCTTACCTAGTAAACTGTAAGATAGTAGCAATTTTAAAGTAATTTCTTCCCATTGGGAAGCAGGGTTTTAGGAGTTGTAAATACCATCAGGTCGGTTCTAACCTTTAGCGACCCTGTGTAAGAATTGGAGGAGCCGCTGGTGAGCATGAACCGCCAACCTGGAGGTTCAAACCGATTTTGCAGTACAGCACATTAATCCTCAGCGCCACACCTGGACTCAGGCGGAAATGTAAGAGAGGGTCAGAATCACTGCCACCACCCCACCCCCAGCCCCTACCCCCATGTGCTGAAACGTTAAGTGTTCTCCACTTATGCTTTTGGAGTAAGAATTTATTTTGCGGTTGTTTTCAATGTTTGCTCTCACCCATATGAGTTTGTCACTTTAAGGCAAAAACCAGGAAGTTAAAAATGGATGGGGATGGGCAGAGAAAGCTGGAAAAACAGGGATCGGTACCTACTACAGAGGGGGTAGGTGGGAGAGCTGGCAACTGCAGCTCTTATTTAAAGATGTAGAATTGCTTTCTACTCAACACAGGTTCAGCCTATGACCTATTGCTAGGCGAGGAGAAAACGTAAGTACCACTGAGAGGGTAGGGTGTAAGCTGAAAGAGGTGGAGCGAATCAGAGTCTTCCGATTGGCTGTTGCTGTTGTTTGCATGTCTTGCTGTGACCTTTTAAGTCCGCGAAAGTTCAGCGACTGACTCACTAGTGGATCCTCCGCAGTGTTTCTGAAAAGGCCAGGTACCACAATTTACCGTTTGCAGCTCTGAGTCTTGCAGGCGTAGGCTTCTCTCATCTACTCGCCTAGCAATTCCATAGCTCTAATAAAAGAGCAAAATCTGGTTTCTCCAAATGCATCTCTTGTAGCATTTGTTTGAATGCTACAACCAACATCTTCCTCGAGACATGATAACTGATGTGTAGTTTTGTTTTTCATCCTTTCTTTAGTGTAAGAGGCACTGACCCAGCCCAGTGAAGATCTCCGGAGACTATGACCAAGAAACGAATTGCTGTGATTGGGGGAGGGGCGAGCGGGCTGGCTTCTATCAAGTGCTGCCTAGAAGAAGGTTTGGAGCCCGTCTGCTTTGAAAGGACAGATGACATCGGAGGGCTCTGGAGGTTCCAGGTAAATCTCCTCTACCCTTAATACTTGGAACCCTCCCTGAGACGAGATGCCTGAGACTTTTGACCTGGGGACACAGAATGTGATTGAGCTTGGTAGTGACTAAACCTGCTAGAATTCCATCCTAGCCTGGCTCCCACGTTTCATTCTTGCCAAAACCACAAGGGTTCTGACCTCACTTCTCAGCAGCCATCAACTCCAGTCCCATCAGTTCCTCTTCTCCGAGGGTGGCTCAAAAGAGCCACTTGTCGCTTGTTTGTCCTTTTCCATTGCTTCTGCAATTAGCACAGAGACCATTTTCATGTAAAGGGATTTTGATGCTGTTCAGCTACAGGATATAATCTAGGAGTAATGATAATGATAATAAACTATATTTACTGGTTAGAACAAGTCAGGTGGTAGCTCCTGATCTGTATTAATAATTTGTTGTTGTTGTTCTTAAGTACCATGGAGTCGGTTCTGACGCATAGTGACCCTGCACTGGGTTTCCAAGGCTGCAAATCTTTACGGGAGCAGAAAGTCTCATCTTTTCTCCCACAGAGCAGCTGGTAGTTTCAAACTGCCAACCTTGAGGTTAGCAGCCCGATTCGTAACAACTATGCTACCAGCGTAAGTGAACTAAAATCATTTGCTTACAGTCCCTCCTGGGAACCTCTTTTTTCATTCTTCTTGTAGCTTTTAATTTTGTCTTATTTGAACCCTGGTTCACTTTATGTGGTGTTGTTGTTGAGCAGTGTTGTTGAGTGCCATCGAGTTGGTGCCAACCATAGCGACCTTGTGTAGGGTTTCCGAGGAGCCACTGGGGAGTTTGAACCACTAACCTTGCTGTTCAAACCCACCTTGCATAGTGCTTATCCTACAGTGCCACATCAGGACTCCATTTGTTGTTGTTGTTAAGTTCCATTGAGTCAGCTCTGACCCATAGCGCCCCTGTACAGGGTTTCCAAGGAGCAGCTGGTGAGCTTGAACCACCAACCTTGCAGTTCAAACGGTTTTGCAGTCTGGCGCATTAACCTACAGCGCCACACCAGGAGTCCACAGTTCCCTGAAAATCCTACGTCCTTAAATAAAATAAAATATGGTTGCCTTGCTGGCTTAAACATGTCCTGCTCTTGAGAAATTGGTAGTCCAAAGTCCTGCCTTCAATAGAAGGCAAAGGGCACACACAACTGACTTTTCTTATCCTTGCATATACTAAGTTGTTTATTTTTAAAATATTTTATTGTGTTTCAGGTAAAAGTTTGCACAGCAATTTTTATACTAATTTTATACAATTTGTGTACAAATTTTGTATCAGCACTTTTATTATTTCCATTCTGTTGATTCTGTTTCCATTGATCTAGCTTCCCTTCCCCTGCTTTGCCTTCTCATCTTGGCTTTTGAGTAACTGTTGACCATTTGTTCTCATGTAGTTAATTATTTAAGGAGCTCTACTAGCGTGGTGGATTATGAACTGGGCTGCTAACTGAAAGGTCAGCAGTTAGAATCTACCAGTTGATCCTCGGGAGAAACCTGAGGTTTTCTGCTCCAGTAAAGAATCACAGTCTTAGAAACCCTATACAGGGTCACTGTAAGTTGGAACCAACTCAGTGGCACACAACCACCACCACCTGTTAATTGTTTAAAAGAGCACCTTACTCACAGGTAATAGTTTATTTTATAAACCAATCTATTAATCTGAAGGGTAACCAACAGAAATAACTCCAAAACCAAGTTTCAAGGTTATCTTAAAGCAGTAGTCTCAGAGATTTCTCTAGTTACTATCAGTCTAGTAACTCTGGCATTGTTTAGGAATTCAAGCTTTTTGAGACATTTTCCTCCCGTTCAATCTGGAACCTTCTACCATGTCTCTGGTCAGAAAGGTCAGTAGTGGGTGTAGCCGGGTGCTGGCTACTTCTCTTGGTCTCAGATTAGAGGAGACTGTGATTTGTGTGGGCTAGTTGTTCTGTGGATTGTTTTTGTACTAAGTTTTAAGGTTGAATTCTTTAATATGCCCTGTGACTTGACCTAACAGTACTAGGATAGCATTCGCCTAAATGATAGTGAAATTTACTTAAATGCCAAAGAATACCAACCACCTCATTATCTCCAAATTGGCATGCATTAAATTTCACTTCTAGGCCCACTTTCTGAACCGGTGAATGGTAAAGGAGGTGTCCCAGATGCATTTCATATTTCAGAAAAAGTATCAAAATGTTGATCAGGTACTTCAAGTGCTTTATAACATTCCTTAGTCAAATAGGAGAGTACAGTTCATTTGCAATGATGGGATTCCTTCTTCCCTCTGTCTTTGGGGTCTAACTCTAATACTATTCCTTATCCAAATCTAGTGTGTCTCTCCCCACCCCTTAGCTGAGCCTCTGTCATTTGAAGCCCTGAGCACAGTCTCAAAATCTTGTTGATTCATTTGAGTTATCAACAGAAAACTCTACTGTTCTAATCCAGATATAGCATTAAGAACACAGTCTGGTTTCAAATGCTGTTCCTCTCACCTGCTAGCAGTGTTGTTAGGTGTTGTCATTTTGGGGTACATAATGACCCCATGTCACAGTGGAACTACCCCATGGGGTTTTCTTGACTAGAATTCTTTATGGAGGCAGATCATCAGGTTTTTCTCCCAGGGAGCCACTGGGTGACTTTGAACCACCAACCCTATGGTTGTTGTTAAGGGTTGTCAAGTCAGTTCTGACTCATTGTTGTTGTTAGGTGCCATCAACTCAGTACCAACTTATAGCGACCGTATGCACAACAGAATGAAACACTGCCCGGCCCTGGGCCAACCTCACACTTGTTGCCACACTTGAGTCCATTGATGCTGCCACTTTGCCAATCCATCTCGCTGGGGGTCTTCCTCTTTTTCTCTGACCCTCCACCTTACCAAACATGATATCCTTCTCCAATG